TCTTCCAGCCTTTGCATTAGCTGTTCCCTTTGCCTGGACTGCTGCTCCCCCAAACCTTCACTCAGCCACTCTTGTCATTTAGGTCTCAGCTTAAAATGCCATTTACTCGGAAAGGACTTTTCTACTATGGTGTCTAAAGTAGATCCCTGCCGCTCTTAGGACACATCCCTATCTTATTTCCTCATATCACTACTTAACTGCTTTCTTCTTCAGTGTATTTCCTTTCTGCCTTGACTCACTAGAAGGGAAGCTCCCCGATGGCAGGTACGTTGTCTGACCTGTTTACCACCGTATCCTTACTGCCTGGAACAGTGCCCAGCACGCAGTAAGTTCTCAATCGATAGGTGTTCAGTATGCTACTGGGGAAGAGCAGAGAAACAGCTCCAGAAAGAGTGAAGAGATTAGGCTAAACCAGCAATATCACTGTCTGGTGGTCAAAGTCAAGTCCAATGCTTTAAGTTCCCAAAAAAGACTCATTAAACGGAAGCATGAATGAATAACGGGGGAAAAGCAGGATAAAGCTCAACTTTAGGTTTGTGGCTCAGATTGAACTTACATTTCGAGTCACGTTTAACTATAGGATTAGGAAGGGAGATGAGTTAATTCCACGATGAGCTCTAGAAACAGGGCTGGGTTAGCTTAGTGCATAAGTTTATTTAGAGGGTTCATTATTGAGATGTGTTTAGATTTGAGGTTAGGGTTGATTTTGAGTTGTGATTTGGGTTGAGGTTAAATATGGGTTAGGATCAAAGTTGATGTTAAATCCCAGTTTAGGTTTTGAGGCTAAGTTCAGGTTTGAGGCTGGTATCATTTCAACCTCATTTGGAAGGCTCAGAGATTTCACTGGTTTTCTCCACAGAGACCACTGTAGAAACTGTACTTCCTTGGGTTTGGAGCACAAGACTCTAGTCATCACCCCTCCCACTCAGGGAAAGCCCCAAACCAACTGCTGGCCTCCTCAAGAAAGAAACTGAATTTCACACAACCTCCGAAACTAAGATTGAAACCAAGATTGGTCCATCTCAAGGAGCGTCCCTCAGCGCATCGCAAACGCCTGTGGCACAGACCCAGTTCTCCCCTTTCCTTCCTCCCTCTCATGTCTCTCTATATCTCCTCCTTGCCTTCCCCTTTTCGCCCTTCCATGTCCCAGTTTTCCTCTCTGACTGAAGCTTCTCCACTTCTGTTTTTCACCATTAATTGCAACATCATTTTACACTTTATTAATAATATAGCTAAGGTCGCCAAGTCCATCAGCTCCTGCCATTGGAGAGGCAGAAAAAGACAGCAGGAAGGAAAAGGGACTCCAGAGAAAGAGGGCACAGGGCAAAGGCAAGGAACAGAGATCAGGAGGGAGGCCAGCAGGGACAAAGGACACAGTAAGGTTAAAAGAAATAAGATGATACCAATAGAGGCCAAGATACTTAAAAAGAGGCACCTGTGGCTACCCTTCTTCCACCATCAAACCTGGTAAGCCACCAAGACCTGTAGATTTTTGCCTAGAAACTCTCCTCTCCATTCTCCTGCTACTGCCTCAATTTATATACTGCAGGCTCTTGTCACCTCCTTGTTGAGTTGCAAAACCTTCCCAACTGGTCTTCTCACATCTGGTTTCCCCTCCAGACCCCAGCTCCCATACCTCAATTCATTCTTCCTGTAGCTTCCAGACTCGTGTTTTAAATATACCAATCTGGGTGGGTCCCTCTCTCACTTAAAAAATTTGGTGGCTTCCCCTCAGAATGAAATCCAAACCAATTAGAATAAAATCTTTTCTTGGCTCTAAACCCTCAGGATGTGTTCTTAGCTTGCCTCCCAAGCCTCATCTCTCTTCCTTCTATCTGTATTCACTTGCACATGTTAGCACACTTCGTACTCTCTTTTACCTCCAGGCTTTGCACCTTCTGTTCCCTCTATCAAGAATGCCCTTCATCATCTTCTTTACCTTGATACTTCATGCCTGGATCACCTCTCCCCCAGGTCAAGTTTGATGGCTTTACTGTGGGCTGCCATAAGCGTGCTGTCAGAAAAACCACACTTTACGGTAATTATAACTAACCTGTGTCCCACACTGGTCTTTGAGCTCCCAGAGGTTAGGAGACTGTCTTCCACACGTTTCCTCAAATGCCTTGTGCAGATGCTTGATAAATGTTTGTGGAATAGAGAAAAAGCTGAAGAGATGGAATGAGGGAATTCCCTGGCAGTCCAATGGTTAGGACTCTGCACTTTAACTCCTGTGGACAAGATTAAATCCCTGGTCACACATGGAATTAAGATCCTGCAAGCCATGAGGCATGGCCCCCCCCCCAAAAAAAAAGAATGAAAAGAAGAAATTAGACTAAACTAGGAAGGCATGAAAGGCAAAGTTGCAGGGCCTCAAGTAGGAGGAAAATAAAACAGGAGAACTAGCTCATACATATCCTAAATGTGACTTAACTGCCACAGGACACCAAGACCCCTCAGGGACTTTCTGCCAATGCAACAGAGGAAGGGCTTGAGTTTCCATCACCACCGTCCTCAGCCCCAGCCCCTCCAAAACCTTCCACATGAAAGCATAACAAGTCATAAGAGTAGTAATAATATTTGAGGGGGCCAATTGTTTTCTCAGTCTTAATGAAATGTGATTAAAATCATCTTTAGAAACGTTGCTGTTTTTTTGACCTGCAACCTACAAGCTAAGCGAAAACTCATTCGTGTTCAAGAATATTCATATCATCATTTTTCATACTAGCCCAAAACTAGAAACAAACCGAATGCCCATCAACAGAAAAATGGATAAATAAATTAGAGTATATAAACACAGCATCACATCGCAATGAAATAATAATTGCTGCTGACACAACCGTGTAGATGAATCTCACAAATATAACACGAGAAAGAAGCCAAACACAGATGAGTTGTCTGTGTGATTTATTTAAATGAAGTCCAAATATAGGAAGAACTGGGATTTCCCTGGTGGTCCAGTGGCTAGGACTCCAAGATCCCAGTTCATGGTAACTGATTTCAATTCCTGGTCAGGCAGCTGGATCCCATGTGCCACAACTAAAGGTTCCACGTGCTGTAACTAGGACCCATCACAGCTAAATAAATAGATAATTTTTTTTTAAATAGGAAGAACTAATCTGTAGTTGTAGAGGTCAAAAAGTGGTTGGTTATCTTTGGGAGGTTTGAACTGAGAGACAACATGAGAGAACCTTCTGGGGAAGGTTCTAAAAATATGTTGAACTGGATGGTGGCTGCATGGCTATAAACAGATGGAAAACTTCATCAGGCTGTCTACTAAGGAGAAGTGCACCTCACTGTACCTGAGTTCCAGATTGACAGAAATGGGAAATCCTTAATGATTTCACAACAGTGTACTGGGGTTTCCCTGGTGGCTCAGTGACAGAGAATCCACCTACCAACACAGGAGACACAGGTTTGATTCCTGGTCCAGGAGGATCCCACATGCCATGGAGAAACTAAGCCCATGCACTACAACTACTGAGCTTGTGCTCTAGAGCCTGGGAGCCACAACTACTGAAGCCCATGCGCCCTAGAGCCAGTGCTTCACAACAGAGAAGCCACTGCAGTGAGAAGCCCTGCACTGCAGAAGCACTGCAACCAGAGGATAGCTCCCGTTCACCGAAACTGGAGAAGAATCCATACAGCAACAAAGACAGCGCAGCCATAATGAAAGGAAGAAAATTGTAAAAATAAAACAATGTATTGACTTTACAAATGCAGCTTCAAGACAGATCATTTTGCTGTCCCCACCCCATCCTAGAGCACCACCTTTGAGCTCCACCTGTATGGAATTCTGAAGCCTGCAGTCTAGAGAACTTGAGCAGTTGCCACACTCCTTGATGCTGGAATGTGTTTGTTTGGGGTTATATAAATCTGATCTTTTGAGCCCACCTAAGGTTGGGATGAGGTAGAGGGCACCCATCAGTAAGATGAGACCTCATCATACGTGAGTTCATAGCCTCATCCCTGAGTGGGATTTTCCAAACCAAGACACTTCTGAGAGCAGAACGGAGCTCCATGAATGTTTCCACCAGGACAACAGGCATAAACCAGGATGTCCCTGGCGGGAAGGTATATAATGGAACTTCTTGATGTGAAACCCACCAGATGACCTGGAAAATACACAGACCGGGACAAGTTGACTTGAGTCTTTTGGGGCAAAGATGTGGGGTACGAGAGGAGGAAACTTGCACACAGAGAAGGCTGTAATCAGTCAAGGGTGCAGAGGTGTTACACAAAATCACTCTTCAGGGAACCGGGCCTCTAGCCCACGCCCCAGCAGCTCCCCTTCTCCTCCTCTGAATTTACTGTCCCTTCTCTAGAACTCCTAAGCCTGACCCCGCTCCCTGGCCCTCCCAGCCCACAGTTCCCCTGACCCCACTCCCTTTCCCAGAACTCAGTCGTCTGAGCCCCCAGCCTGCGGTTCTGTCCTAGGCCTCAGCCTTTCCTGCCTTCGACTGAAACAGCAGCATCTTCTAAGCCCTGGGGGCTTCCCCAGGCCCCAGCCCCGGCCTAGAACCCGCCCGCCGCCTGCCACGCTGCCACTGCCGCTTCCTCTATAAAGGGACCCAGGCGTCCGGGCCAAGGGGCCCCCGCACAGCAGGTGAGACTCTCCTAGCCCATCTCCTCGGGCTGCCGGGGCGGTGGACTCCTTCCCCGGGGGCGTTCATTCCCTCCTCTTACACCCCAGCCCCTCCTGCCCCTCCAGCCAGGGCCAGGGCCTTGGCGGGCCTGGTTTTGGTTGGTTCCCCTCTCTCTGGCTGCATCTGTCAGTCTCTTTCTCCCTGTCTGTGTCTCACATTCTGAGCCCTTTCTGTTCCCCTCCCGTCTCTGTCTCTCTCTCTCCTCCTGCTCACCTCGGGGTTTCCCTGATTGCACCTTGTCCCCTTCTCTGTCTGTCGCGCGGTGTCTCTCGGGGTGGCTGTCTCCACCGGCAGGAGGCCCGTCTTCCTCATCGCGCCCCGCCCCGCTCACTGTCTCTCTCCCCGCAGGTTCTCCCCATGACACCACCTGGACGTCTCTACCTCCTGAGGGTGTGCAGCACCCCACCCCTCCTCCTCCTCCTGGGGCTGCTGCTGGCCCTGCCGCCCGAGGCCCAGGTGAGGCAGCAGGACCAGGGGGGCCGTGGGGGGCGGCCCGGCCCAACCCTGGGCCTTAAAGCCTGTCTGACTCCCTTCTCCCCTAGGGGCTCCGTGGCGTTGGCCTCACACCCTCAGCTGCACAGCAACCCCTGAAGCCCTTCACCCGTGGCACCCTCAAACCCGCTGCTCACCTTGTTGGTAAACATCCACCCGCCCTCCCGACACGTAGCCCCCAGCCCTCCTCCTGCCCCTTTCAGAGACCCAATATCCAACCCCCCACTCCAGCTCACCCCACTCCCACTCCCTCTGTCCTCCCATCCATCCCTGGGAACTCAGTCCAGCACCTGTTGCCTCGGGGACTGAGACCATTGACCCCCAAGTCCTTGAGCATCATCCCCTCTGGCTCTTCCCAGGAGACCCCAGCACCCAGGACTCGCTGCGCTGGAGAGCAAACACGGACCGTGCCTTCCTCCGCCACGGCTTCTCTCTGAGCAACAACTCCCTCCTGGTCCCCACCAGTGGCCTCTACTTTGTCTACTCCCAAGTGGTCTTCTCTGGGAAAGGCTGCTTCCCCACGGCCGCCCCCACCCCTCTCTACCTGGCCCATGAGGTCCAGCTATTTTCCCCCCAGTACCCCTTCCACGTGCCTCTCCTCAGCGCTCAGAAGTCCGTGTGCCCAGGGCCACAGGGACCATGGGTGCGCTCGGTGTACCAGGGGGCTGTATTCCTGCTCACCCGGGGAGACCAGCTATCCACTCACACAGACGGCATCTCCCACCTGCTCCTCAGCCCCAGTAGTGTCTTCTTTGGAGCCTTCGCTCTGTAGAAACATCCAGAAAGAAACAAATAGGCTTCAAGGCCTTCTCCCCATTTTGCCTCCATTCTGACCACTTCAGGGGTCACCTCACCTCTCCTTTGACCATTCCAACAGTCTTGAGTCTTCCCCACCCCAGTTCTCAGCACTGGAGCTTCCAAAGAAGAAATTCTAGGCCCACCAGGGGACCAGACCTCCCTGGACCACCCCAGATGCTCAGCTGAGGACTTCAAGCCTGCCTCGAAACACCCGCCCAGATCCCTTCCTCGGCCCTGCCCATCTAGGGGGCCTCGTCTTGGACATGGAGAGGGGAGCTGACATATGAGGGAGCTCGGGTGGATGACTAAAGCCGGGGGGGGGGGGTGCTTATTTATGAAGGGAAAACAATTAAATTATTTATTTATGGAGCATGGAGAGAAGGGAATAATAGCGAGACATCAGAAGAAAGAGCTAATACACCCAAGAGATGACAAGTGAGAGGGCGTGGGCACAAGGATGACCCAGTGAGAGACAGAAAGCGTGGCTCTGAGGGACCAAGGGGTTCTGGAAGGAAGTGAAAAGCTCTTAAGAGCCAGCCGCTGCTTAACTGGACACCCCACAAGATGTCTGACCCTCGATGAAGCCAAATAAACCTCTTTTCTCTGAAATGCTGTCTGCCTGTTTCTGACTGTCGGGGAGGGGAGAATTCCCCAGATGTCTCTGAGGAATGGAGGGAGGACAGGAATCAGAGAGGCCTGAGGGCCTCTGGGGACACACGGTGGGCTCACAGGGTGGTGCAGCCAGCCCGCTGCAAGGGAACCAGAGGATAAGGTGAGAAGACAGAGGCAGGTCCAAGGTCTGGAGGAGCAAGAGTCAGGGGCCCCTTGAGGAATGAGGGTTACAGGAGGTTCCTAAGGAGCACTGACAATGCTAAAGAGTGTTCAGGATGATGGGGGAGGATCATGGGGTCCCCTGGAAGACATGGCCATGCCAAGGCCCCGAGAAATGGGACAACGTCCAAGGCTGGGGGCTGGAGAACACAGGAGGCATTTCAGGAGACCTGGTCACACACATGGGGGCTCTTAAGGGCAGTGCTGTCTCCAGAAAACTGGAGGGAGCAGGGATTCTTTGGGGATACATGGCCACACACAGGGACTCTGAAGGGTGGGGGCTTCATGCAAAAGTTGGGGAGTCACATTCCCTTGGAAACCAAGACTGAAACCAGCCCCAGAGTTTCGGTGAGTCCCTGGTCAGAGTGAAAGGAGAAGCCCTGCCGTGCTGGAGTTCATGAATTCCCAGCATTACTTTCAGCCCCTGGGGCTGTCCCAGGCTTGGTCCTGCCATCCGCCCCCAGTTCTTGCAGAGCCTCAAGCTTTCCTTTCTCCAGCTCCTCTCGCCCCCCAGAGTCCCAAACACACATCTCAGGACCCAGCACAGTTTCCCCTGAGTTTTCTCTCCATGAAGGACTAAGCTTTGTAAAGCCCCTCCCATTTCTAATTCTACCCCTACCTGAGTCCCATCTGGAAATCAGAAGGAACAGACCACAGAACTCACTCCAACCCCAAAGGAATGAAAACAGTGGGAGCTGGTGGGCAGAGGGGAAATGGGTCCAGCCCCCAGAGTCCCATATTCACAGCAGTAACTGGCCTATCGAAGCCCACTCAGAATCCGAGCAGGGGAGTGTAGGAAGTATCCTTGATGCCTGGGTGTCCCCAACTTTCCAAACCCCCACCCCTGTGATGGAGAAGAAACCGAGAGAGAAGGTGTAGGGCCCGCTACCGCTTCCTCCAGATGAGCTCATGGGTTTCTCCACCAAGGAAGTTTTCCGCTGGTTGAATGAGAGCCTTTCCCCGCCCTCTTCTCACCCCAGAGCGTATAAATGCAGCTGTTTGCACACCCAGCCAACAGAAGCTCCCAGAGCGGGGACACCAGGGGACCAGCCAAGAGAGAGACAAGCCGCTGCAGAGCCCCCTGGAGATAACCTCCCAGACCACACACCCCCGACAGACAGCCAGGCAACTCGCTCTCTCTCACACACCCTGCCACAAGGCTCTCCTGTCTCCCGTCTGGACTTGAACCCTTCTGAAAAAGACCATGAGCACCAAAAGCATGATCCGGGACGTGGAGCTGGCGGAGGAGGAGCTCTCCAAGAAAGCAGGGGGCCCCCAGGGCTCCAGAAGTTGCTTGTGCCTCAGCCTCTTCTCCTTCCTCCTGGTTGCAGGAGCCACCACGCTCTTCTGCCTGCTGCACTTCGGGGTAATCGGCCCCCAGAGGGAAGAGGTGAGTCTCTGGCCAGCCTTGGCTTATTCTCTCACCCAGAGAGAAATGAGAAAGAGGGCGAGAGATGGGGTGGGGAAAGAGGTGTGCTTATGGGGAAGGGTGGGGAGGAAAATAGTGGAGAAAGATGGGGAGGTAGGAGGAGACATGGAGAGAGATGGCAGGAAAAGAGAGACGGACGGAGAAATAAGACACCTGGCACAGGGGGGATGCCCTCTAAATATTTGTTGGACAAATGAGTAAGCAGGGATACAGACATAAAGAGAGATGTGTAGACAGATAAGGGGTGTGAGTAGAAAGATCGAGACTCAAAACAAGTGATCTGGATGAAGATGGTGAGACAGAAAAAGATACAGACGATATGAAAGAGAGATAAGGAAAGATGAAGCTAAGCGTGTCTGGCACGTGGAAGTAACTCAATGAAAGAGCTGTTAAATGGATGAATGAATGAAAAAAATGGATGAATGGAGAGAGAAGACAAGACCCATCAGGGCATAGAGTACCAGCTAGAGAAGCAGCCAGCAGTTTCTCCTTCAGGGGTGACTTGCTCTAACTCTCATCCTCCTTTTTCTCTCCAGCAGTCCCCAACTGGCCTCTCCATCAACAGCCCTCTGGTTCAGACCCTCAGTAAGTGTCTCCACAACCTCTCTTCTAATGCTGGACTTGGGTGGGTGGGGGTGGGTGGGGTTTAGACCTGGGACGGAAGCAGTAGGGGAAATTTAGGGTTTGGGATCAGGGGGAGAAGGAATGGAGGTCAAAGTATGGGATATTTTCTGGGAAGCTTAAGGGTCTCACCTTTTCCTTTCCTCTTTCCTCCTCAGGGTCATCTTCTCAAGCCTCAATTAACAAGCCGGTAGCCCACGTTGTAGGTAAGAGTTCTGAGGATGTCACTAGGGCACGAAGAAGCAGACAGACAGGGAGGGGTAGGATTTGGGGGCTGAATCCAGACTGAGGGCAGACAGAGACAGTGTGAGAAGGATTCATGAGCTCAAGGGGGGTGGAGGATACTTAGAACTTGAGGGGGATACTCAGAACCTCACAGCCAGATGGGATGTGGGAACACAGAAGGGACAGGAACCGGATGTGGGGGGTGGGCAGAACTTGAGGGCCAGGATGTGGAGAGTAGAACTGACAGGGTCACACTGACTCACCCCTCCCCGTTCTTCTCCCTCCCTCCAGCCAACATCAATGCTCAGGGGCAGCTCCTGTGGTTGGATTCATGTGCCAATGCCCTCATGGCCAACGGTGTGAAGTTGGAAGACAACCAGCTGGTGGTGCCTACTGATGGGCTTTACCTCATCTACTCCCAGGTCCTCTTCAGGGGCCAATCCTGCCCTTCCACCCCCTTGTTCCTCACCCACACCATCAGCCGCATTGCAGTCTCCTACCAGACCAAGGTCAACATCCTCTCTGCCATCAAGAGCCCTTGCCACAGGGAGACCCCAGAGTGGGCTGAGGCCAAGCCCTGGTACGAACCCATCTACCAGGGAGGGGTCTTCCAGCTGGAGAAGGGAGATCGCCTCAGTGCTGAGATCAACCTGCCGGACTACCTGGACTATGCCGAGTCTGGACAGGTCTACTTTGGGATCATCGCTCTGTGAGGGCGCAGGACATCCATCCTCTCCCACCTCAGTTACCTTATTATTTAATCCTTCAGACCCTTCTCATCCCCTTCTGGTTTAGAAAGGGAATTGGGGGCTCAGGGCTGGGCTCCAAGCTTACAACTTTAAACAACAACTGCACTTAGAAATTAGGGATGTAGGGAAGTGAGACCTGGACAACGGGGCACCAACCACGCTCAAAGACTGGAACTGGAACTTCCAGAACTCCCTGGGGTCCACAAGTTTGGGTTCCCGGATGCAACCTGGGACACCCAAAATGTGGGGGCCAGGGCTCTTACTGGGACCCTTCGCAACATTCCTTGAGAAGATCTCACCTAGAACTTGACATGAGTGGACTTCAACTTTCCCTTCCTGCCAATGTTCCCAGACTCCCCTGAGGTGGGAAGCCCAGCCCCAACCCCACTGGGCCAACTCCCTCTGTTTATGTTTGCACTTGTGATTATTTATTATTTATTTATTATTTATTTATTTACTAATGAATGTATTTATTCGGGAGGTCAAGGTGTCCTGGGAGACACAAACTAAGGGCTGCCTTGGCTCAGATGTGTTTTCTGTGAAAACGGAGCTGAACTGCAGGTTGCTTCCACCATGCCTCCTGGCCTTTGTGCCTCCTTTTGCTTATGTTTTTTAAAAAATATTTATCTGATCGAGTTGTCTAAATGATGCTGATTTGGTGACTGATTCGTCGCTATATCACCGAACCTCCGCTCCCCAGGGGAGTCATGCCTGTAACCGCCCTACTGGTCAGTGGCGAGAAATAAAGTGTTCTGAGAAAAGAAACATGCTTCTATCTGGAAATTAATTCTGCATGGGCCTCTTCTTGGGGGTGAGAGGCTGCTAACCAAAGTTCTTCTCCACAGGGCTTAAGATCCCTGGACCTCACTCCTTGGACTTCTGGGGCTCAAGAGATCCTACCTAAGACAAAGCCCAGCTGAATATGCACCTACCCCAAGAAAGGAACTTGAACTTAATTACCTCTCCCTGAGGGCATGGGAATTTCCAACTCTGGGAATTCCTATCCAGGTGGGGCAAATCCTGTTCAGGTGAGATTTCCGGCTGTTGCGGCCTGAGAGAAAGAGCGAGGGAGCGGCCAGATTCTCAGGCACCTGAATCACAGCCAAGGGACTTTCAGAC